CGTGAGCTCTAAAGGCAATCACAAGTGTCTTTGTAAGAGCTAAGCAGAGGGAGATTTGACACAGAAGAAGGCAATGTGATCCCTGAAACAAGATGCTATGGCTTTGTTGAAGATGGAAGGTGGACCAGGAGCCAAGGAATTCATGGAATGCGGTTTTAGAATGAGAAAAGTGAAGGACGGGATTCTCTCCTAGTGGACACTTTCATTTTGGCCCAGTGAAACTGATTTTGAACCTCTTACCTCTGGAACTGGAAAAAACTAAGTATGTGTTGTTTTAAGCTACCAGGTTTGTGGTAATTTGTTATAGCAGCAATAGGAAACTAATATAATGTGTGAGCTTTCATTGGAGCATACACACTCAGTTTTATATATATGCCAACAGACTAAATTGTCCCTCTCACTGTGGGAAATTCCTACTACATTTCTGTATCTCAAAACCTTTCATACTCTCTTTTCCCAGCATGAAATGAGTTACTTCCTCATATTTACTTTGCTATTCCTCATTGAAGTTTGATAAAACCATTGGCAGTACCAAGAAAGTCTAATTTAGTTCAGTAATTCAAGAACAATTTATTAAGCACCTATCATTTGTGGGGCAGTATAATAGGCTTTGTTGAAGCCTCATCTGGAGATGAAGGGATTATTTCTCAGGGAAATGATGTTTGAATTGAGTCTTTAACAGTTAGAAAGAATGTCAAGTTGAAGGAAAAAATGGATGTCATGCCAGGCCCCCAAAAACCAACCAAACCCGCTGCCGTCAAATTGGATTCGACTCATAGCAACCCTCTTTGGGTTTCTGAGGTGGTATCATTGTGGAAGTAGATTGATCAATCTTCCTTCCAAGGAGTGGCTGGTGGGTTTGAACCTCCACCCTCCTGGTTAGAAGTCAGATGCCGTAGGCACAATGCCACCAGAGCTCCTCCATCGTGCCAAGCAGAGGGGGGAAAAGAAGTACATACACAGGTCTAGAAATAGGAAACAATAGAGTGTCTGTCAGGAACTGTGACGACTAGGTATTCCCAGACGTTTATGAGTTAATGGGATTTATTAGTGGATTTAGAATGATATAATTGAGAGATTTAAATGAGAAGATATGTACGTGTATGGAAGGATGGCCAAATAGGTAGACAAGTACATAACTATAAAGACAGAGACAGAATCAGAAAAGACCAGCTATGGACCAAGGATGACACTCACAGGAGAGGCCAGATGGAAAGATCTAGAACACATCTATCTATGAGGGGATGTTTCAACAGCCTAGGAAGTATAGAGGTCCAACAAGTAGTGAGTGTGGCCAATAGTGTAAGATATGGAAGATGTGTGCTGTGAAACAGAGCTGAAAGGTGGTTGTTGGATTTGCCCACAAGGTGTTCTGGTGCTTTTGAACAGAGTAGTGTGGAAGAATGTTTGTAGTGGGTAAGGACTGAGAAAATAGGAATGAGGAAGAGTGATTGCTTAAGGAATACATATTATCCTCATTGATGTGGGCATAAAACTTTTCTGGAAATGGTAAAATGGTCATGACTTGTGTCTGTGCTGAAGGGCCTCATCCATTTGTGAAAAACAACAGCCTGCCCTTCCATTTACTTCTTTCCAAGATTGTTCAAAGAAGCTCTACTTTATATATAGTAAAATTCACCCTTTTTAAGTATACAGTTATGAAATTTTTGAGAAATATATATAGTTGTGTTACCACCACCACAATCAGGAATTAAAATAGCCACGTCACACCTGAAAACCTCCATCTTCCTTTGTAATCAGCCTGTTTCCCTGCCTGCAGCCCAGGGCAACCACTGATCTGTTTTCTGTCCCTATAGTTTTGCCTTTTCAGAATGTTAAATAAATGCAGTCATACAGTATATAACCTTTTGATTCTGGCTTCTTCTACTTAGCATAATATATTTGAAATTAATCTATGTTGTTGCATGTATCAAGGAGCACTGGTGACACAGTGGTTAAAGTGCTTGGCTGCTAACCAGCAGGTGAGCAGTTGGGACCCACCAGCCACTCCGAGAGAGAAAGATGAGGCAGTCTGCTTTTGTAAAGATTTACAGCCTTGGAAACCCTATGGGGAAGATCTACTCTGTCCTGTAGGGTTGTTGCGAGTTAGAATTGACTCAATAGCAATGGGTTTGCGTTAGTTCTGGTTTGCGTGTATCAGTTGTTTGTTCCCTTTTTATTGCTGAGTAGTATTCTGTTGAAGGGATGTGCAGTTTGTTTACTCATCCCCAGCTGGAGGATATTTGGATTGTTCTTAGTTTTTGATGAATAATGGTGCTGTAAACACCTGTGTATTCATTTTTGTGTGAATGTAGGTTTTCAGTTCACTTGATTAAATTTGTAGGCATGGAATTGCTAGGTCATATGGTATATGTATGTTTCACTTTAGAAGAAACTGAAACTATTTTCAAAGGGACTGTACCATTTTGTGTTATCACCAGCAGTGAATAGAAGAACAAGGTCTCTGTTAATTTTTTTTCTCCTCACCTCCTTTACAGTTCAGCTCTCTTTCAAACCTCTTGTATTGCTAAAGTACCTGCTAACTGTGAGAGCAGTGCACATTCTCACAAGGTTAGTTGTCAGGTGTTAGAATTTGTGATTTGATTCCTTAACCTAGGACTCTCAACTTTACCATCAAAAGAGTTTTTTGATTGTTTGTTTATTCTCTTTTGCCCTGACATAATTTGAAGCTCTTTTGATTCATATTATGAGGTTTACTCATTAATTTAAAGGATCTAACATAATGCTAGTCACTAATGCCAATTTAAGGAAATAATAAAATGATGATGCCTTAAAGTACATAATTAACTTTTAATTTGTTTTTATTGACTATTTTTAACTCTGTGTGTGTTCTTAATTGTGTTGATTAAAGCAACAGATTACTGTTTCAGGGTTGGCTTTCCTCAAACCCAGAATTTTTTTTTTTCAATGCATGTTTTATTTCACTGGTGGTGTTCGCATTTGTAACAGTCAACTCGGTCCTTATCAGTACATAATGTGTTACTGATTAAAAAAAAAAAAAAAGCTTGTTTCCTTTGTGTAAATTTAAAACTATACTAAGTCAACAGTTCACATTTTAGCCCCCAAAATAGTTTACCGGCTCTTCTGGCCATGATGCACTCAGAAGAAATAATGTCAGAGTTCATCTCATTTGGTTAGAAGCAGTAAAGAAGAAAATTGTTTGCCTTTTCAGTAGATAGCCAATATCCATTAGTGCCTGTGAGTAATGTTTGCTCGGAGCAATGCAGGTGCTGGTTTCTTCATTGAACCTATTCTGTTTTCTACTTTGTAAAAAAAAATTTCTTATTCCTTCAAAAATTTTTGTGGCAGAAAATACTAGTATAACAAAAACCTTTCGAATACCTGTGTTTTTTTTTCCCCAAAGTTATAAATGTTCAATATATTTGTTTCTTTTAAACTGAAAATTAAGATTCTGGAAAGATTGACTAAAACCAAGAAGGTGACATTCAAAAGTGATAAATGTGAAGTCTTGCATACAGAGTGAAAAATTGATTTTATAAGTAGAGACCTTGGAGAACTGACCCAGCAGCAGTTCATTAGGAAATAAATGAATAACACCTGGGGGGTTGCGTTTACCACCTGCTCTGCATGAATTATTGGTGAGATGGGGCTGCTAAAAATAGGCAGATGCATTTTTAAGATGCATTAATAGATGTTTGGGTAAATGTTCCCTCTGTTTTGCATGTGTTGGATCATAGCTTGACTATTATGTTAGTTTGAATGATTTCGGAGACAAAACTTTAAAAGTTTGGAAGTTTCAGTGAGGCATTTTTGACTGCTTTTAGCAGAGCTCATGAACAAAGAACTTTGACTGGCAATCCAAAGAGACTTTCTAACAAAGTTGTGAGCTTCCCATCACTGGATGAGTTCAAATTAGAGTATTAGCTTCATGAGTATGGATTTCTTCTGCACTGTTCACTCTGTGTCCCCACTGCTTTGTACTGTTCACTCTGTGTCCCTATCTGCCTGGCACATGGTAGACATAATTATTGAATGTATGCTTGAAAGGGAGTTCCCGGGTGATGCAAGCAGTTAATGTGCTCGACTGCTAACTGAAAAATTGAAGGCTCAAGTCTACCCAGAGGTGCCTTGGAAGAAAGGCTTGGCAATCTGCTTCCAAAAGATTTGCTATTGCAGACCTGTGGAGCACAGTTCCACTCTGACATGAGGTGGCTATCAGAGTTAATTCAACAGCAACTGATTTCTTTATGAATAAAAGACGAATGACTATCTCTTGGGAAGGGTATTCTCAAGAGGAGCCCTATGTTATATTATCAGAATGGCCACAAAGGCCTATTCCTATATTGAGATTATATGAGAACCAATGATTTATATGAAAAAAAAAAAATGATTGGCTGATAACAATAGTCTAATTTATAGTATTAATAGACATAATTTGATCTCAGCAACTGAATGACTTTTTACGTGTTTTTTGTCTTGTGTTGAATTCTGCTTCAGACTGTTATATGTTTTAGTCACATGTTAACTTCTTTGCCACTCTACTGATTGCCATAATTGATGTGACTAGTCTGAGTGGCTAGTTAGGTCACCCATCATATCCTCACTCTGTCAAAGAAAATGACTATCCAGATGTAGGAAATCCTTTTTCAGTAAGGGTTGCACAGGTACCTGTGTCCCTCTTTTGAGTCTCTGAAAGAATGACAACACACTCCTTCCCATGATGCTATTACTATGACACCAAAATTATAACTTTGAAGGGGCTTCTGCTGTTACTGAACTAGTGAAAAGTAGAATGAGTGGAGGAAGTAACAGCCAATGAAAAATGTATAAACCACTTCTCATCCAGAAACCAAAAATTTTGATCTGTTGTGTTTACACATCAACCATGTTGGGGAGCCATTGTTCACCAGATTCATATGGTATTTCTTTGGAGATCTGATACACAAGCCAAAAGGTATACACCCTTGTACTTTGTTGCTTTCTGGTTTTTTTTATTCAATTGCTGTCTTCCGTTATAGAGCACCAAAACTACTTTGGAATAGATGAAAACCTTGGCCCTGTGGCCATAAGCATCCGGAGAGAGAAAGTTGAAGATGCTAAGGAGAAAGAAGGGTCCCAGTTCAACTATCGTGTAGCTTTCAGGACCAGTGAGGTAATGGAACTGCTGTGCATTGTGACTATCTGTGGGCTGAAGTCTGAAGATCAATAAAAACTGTCTTTCAGCCACTTGATTAGGAGATACCCCCTTTAGGACATGTTTGTCTATGGGTGTTTTTTTCTTCTGTTAATGGTTCTACCACTGATTGGTATAAAGATTTGTATACAAGTATCCCCATAACTAACCTTGAGGATATAAAACTATTGACTGCAAATACCAGTTTATATCCAAATATCTGATTATAGCTTTAATAACTGATAACTTTTAAGCGCTTGCCATATATGTGGCATTGTTTTAAGTGCTTTACATGTATTTCCTTATATATTTCCCTCTTTTATATAAGGTGGCTGGCACAGAGATTTAGGCACATTACTTATCCAAAGTCTCATAACTCGTGAGCTGTGGAGCTGGGATTTTAACCTTCACAGCCCTCCTACAGAGCCAGGCTCCTCAAACCCTAGAGAAGGGCCCTGAGATGCACAGGATATGATATCACGGTTTCTAGGTGACAAGTATAGTTGATTTCAGTATACCTTCAGTGTTTTAGACTGGGTTCTCTAGAGAAACAAAAACCAGCAATATATATAAAGAGAGAGATAAATTTATCTTAGGAAAATGGCTCACAAACGTATAGAAGCTGGCAAGTCCAAAGTCCCTGGAAGAGACGTCAGGCTGGAGGCAGCCTTAGCTTCTGCAACCACAGGGGGCCAAGAAGCTCAAGGCTGGCAGGCAGTATGCTGGCTGTTGATGCCAACGAAAGACGAATCCAAGATCTCCAGGCCGAACGGTGGGCAGCTCAGTCACGGAAAGTTGTAGGCAGCACACCAGAGTCCCGATCCACAGAAGAATGTCTTTCTTCCCAGGATGTCCCTGGATATCCTGGAAGCAGGCCACACCCCTAGGGAAACTCCCCTTGGGCAGATTGGCCACTCAGAACACAGTCATCCAATCCCATCATGGGAACAACCACACAGAACTGGGGTCCAGCCAAGTTGACACACAGCTCTAACTATAACATTCAGTATCACTGCTTTGCTTTAGATATGGCATTGAATTTATTTTTCAATTCTAACATTAAAGAATGCATGTGGACTTTATGGTAATTGAAAGGGTTGCAGTATAAAAATTACGAAACTTGCCATGGATGTTAAATGGTAATGATTTTGACTGCCACCTTGCATGAACATTGGATAAAATGATAAAAATGCAAGACGTGGGGCTAAGACAGGGAGGATAAGCATAAACTATTGCTTTCGGTCTATCTGTGGAAGGAAGACTGGGCAATCTACTTCTGTAAAGATTTACCACTTCAGAAACCCAAAGGGGGTTGCTATGAGTTGGAATCAACTCCATAGCAGTGAGGTTTTTTTTGTTTTTAGTTTTTTTGTTTTTCAATCTATATAAAACAGAGCTTAAATACATCTCTAAAATCTAACACAAAAAATAGCCTTCAGTAGGATGACACTGTTTGATTAGTGTTTTTATCAGCATAGTGCCTCTGCCTACCACCTCTTCATTACGTTGGTTAATTCCTTGCTTCTCTTGCTTAGAATAATAACTGAGATTGTTATAGAAATGACACAATACAGACCTATGTATCTTAACCCATTTTAGTTAGAAGACCATCCCTGGGTGGTACAAATAGTTAATGCTCTTGACTGCCAATCAGAAGGTTAGTGGTTCAAGTCCATCCAGAGGTGCGTGAGAACAAAGACTTGGTGCTCTACTTTGGAAAAGTCAACCATTGGAAACTCTATGGAGTCTCCATGAGTCAGAGTTGACTCAATGGCAAGTGGTTGGTTATACTTGGGCAATATTCTAGAAGTGTGTTTTGGTTGACTATTACTAGATAATACTGACAAAGAAAAGAAAACATTTCTCTGGTTATTTGAAGCCTGCATGAGCATATGTACCGTTGTGTATCTTCCCTAGTACTTAGGCATTCCAGTGATCTAGGCTGTAAGATAAAGCCCATTCTTGAATTGACATAATTTAAAGTCACTTTTTAGACTTGTGCTGTCCTATTCAGTAGCCACTGACCAAATGAGACTACTTAAGTTTAATTAAAATTAAATAAAAATTAAGTTTCTAATGTTGTTGTTGGGTGTCATTATTTCAGTTGCTCACTGTTAGATCTGAGGCATGTGTTCAGAGTAGTGATCCCATGCATTCATGTCATATTTGAGGGCATGCAACAGATCCACAAGCAAACCTCAGAAGTTGACTTCTCAGCCTTGAACCAACCTGCCCAGGGCACAATTACCCAGGACATCTTTGCCCAGGATATCACTGGGTGTGCCTGTTCAGCCTTAGGAATAGTCAGCGATGGATAATAGAAGAGAAGAAAGGGAATGAGAGAGAATATGACATAAAGAAATGGGGAAAATACTAAAAATAAGGAAGGATGGAAGAAAAGCAATTATCCTCAGTATAATTCACATGTAGGAAACAAAGAATTGTAGAAAATGTCTTTATTTTGCATAACAGTACTTTGTCTTCCTTATTCTTTAAGCATATGTCTCATTTTCTCAATCCAGCTTGACTTCCCCCTGATCTTTATATATTTTTGTTGTTTAAAGACTACTTGAGTGTTAGTTTTGCTTCTTCAAATTGAGTCCTTTAGCCTCCTTTGCCTTCTCTAAAAAGAGCCTTACCTCTCTTCTTTTTGTATGGCATCTAAAAAATTACTTTTCAAAATAGCTAATCAAGAATAATTGGTAATTGATGTCTTTACTCCCCTCTGCAGCTTACAACACTGAGAGGAGCAATTTTAGAAGATGCTATACCCTCCACTGCTAGGCATGGTACTGCACGAGGACTACCTCTGAAAGAAGTTCTGGAATATGTCATTCCAGAGTTGAGCATCCAGTGCCTGAGACAGGCTTCTAACTCACCCAAGGTCTCGGAACAACTACTCAAGCTTGATGAACAAGGGGTATGTATAATGTGGGTTTGGGTGTGAATTTTTTTTTGTGTGTCTAAATGTTTAGAAATTTCCCCGTGCATCTTTCTTTTCAAACCATTTATTTTTAATGCCACCAAGCATTTTCTCCCTAGTTTTTCCACAAATATGCATTTATACTATAAGAAACATGATACCCTTGTAGTATAATGTACCTTCTGCTGAGTTGTGACTTTTACTGTTTTTACCAAGGTTTTGGTATGTTCCATCTAGCCAGAGCACATCTGATTGCATGATCATTAGAGGTAGATAAGTATCTTTTTCCAGGGTGTGAGAAACTTAAGTTGGCCCTTTTCCTGAACAAACATGTATTCTTGTCTACTGTGTGCATGGTATACTAATAGATGGGTGTGAAGAGCATATAGTAGGAAGATTTAAAGATGACTAAGACTAAGCCCATAGGGACAATAAGACCAATAGCACAAAGGACTCTATACAGGAGGAAATATGGTAATAGATTTTGGAGAGGCATAAATATCAAATATAGGGAGTGCTTTGGGAAAGAAAAAATAATATCTGGCTGAATAAATCTTGAAGGAGGTGGCATTTTACCCAGACCTTTAGGCTTGGGTAGGACTTCAAGAGAGAGAGATAAGTAATTGGCTGTTCTAGGAAATTATGGCGAATCTAGTTTCTCTACAAGAAAAGGGTACTTGTGAGAAATAAGACCAAGAAAGTGAGTGAGAATGATGGATGTAAGATCTTAATGCTAGGCTAAGGAATTTGCACTGGACTCAGGTAGTAGGGAGCCATTGAAGGCTTTCCATCAGGAAGTGACATAATCAGTTATATTTTGGAAAGATCATAATGATATACAGGCTAGTGAGGATAGAGACTGATGATGATGGCCTGGTGCTCAATTGTGTGATTAATGACATTGTCCAACATGACTGGGATGTTGGCCCAGAAGGCAGAAAGAAATCCTTAAAATTTTATATGCTAGATAACTTGTAGGGGAAACTGAATGATAGAACCCAAGTGCATATGATTTTTTTGAAATGAGTGTGTTTGTTTTTAAATGTATGCTTAAGAAAAAGACAATACTCATGTATATTTTCAGAATTTTCCAAGGAAAATTCCTTCACATGTTTTAGAGAGAATATGAGCAATTTCTTTGTTGACCCATTAATACTCATTATGATGAAGTAGAGTATTTGATATCTCAGGTAGCAGAGATTCTAAAAGTGACGAAATTGAAATTCAACTGTCTAACAGATTAGCATTACATTATTAGCAAAGAGTAGGCACTTTAACATTCAAAATAAATAAACCTGAGATCTTCAAGTCTCAAGAGTTGAAAGCCTGGAGATTTCTGGTAAGATGGCAGACTAGCAGAAAGACTGCACAGACCCTCTACAACAAAGAAAAGGAAAACCAATTTACATAGACACAGAAGATAATCCTGGACCCCTGAACCATGAAGGGAAGGATATAGGAGTGGACTAAACCCCAACTAGCAGAAGAATTTGCATGAAAATTCCAAAAAGGAGACATACGGAGCTGCAGTCTAGCAGCGATCCTGAGTGATCCTGATGGCACGACACTTGGAGAGTGCCGAGTGGTGGTGGGACCTAAGAATTATCCTAAAATTCAGCCCTGCTAGCCAGGGACTGCACGGAGGACTGTTCTGGTACCTGGGGAATAAACGGAGTAGGGAAAGAGAAAGGTGGGCTGAGCTGTGGACTTTTGCCTATCCCGAGGGCACCGCCATTTTGAATGTTTAAAAGTGGCTTGACCATTTTGGATATTTAAAGAGACAGCGCTATCTGAGATTCCAGGGACTTAAGAATAGGTTCTACTTGCCAGTATCCCCAAGGACACTCAGGACCTGCACAACTGAAAAGGTGAGACATTACTCTTCTTACTCTTATACCCCACACCCACTTGGTAAACAGAGGTGTGGCCATCCCCCACTCCCACCCACCTTCTGGGCCCTTAGGAACTCCATCCCAGTCTGTGTGCTCAGACGGAGCCTGGGGGCCCTACCCTGTCCTCCACCGATTTTTTTCCCTTTTTTTAATTTTAATCATTTTTTCCTTTTTCACTTTTTTTTGCTGGTGTTTAGTTTGCTTGTATTTGTCTGTTTTAAAACTACTATTACTATTAATACTTTTGTCCTTTTTACTATTATTTATTCTTCCACTCCCAGGTCCTAGTTTTCAGCTTTTTTTCTTTTCCCTGTTCCTGGTTGAAATTTTTTTTTTCTGTTTTCCTTTTTTCTCATGGTTAACACCATTCCTTTTTTTTTTTTTTTTTCCTTTCTCCATTTTTCCCATTTTTTATCTTCATTAGTCTCCTTCTCTACCTTTTTATTTTAGTGCCCTATCCACAGATATTGCAGGTTTCCTTTTTTTTTTTTTTCTTCTTTTTCCCTTTTTTGGTTACTGTTCCTGTGTGATTACATGGTGTGTTTTTTTGTCCATGTGCTTTAGTTTTTTTATTGTTATTCAATTGTAATTCTTGTCTAACAGAGTGGGAGACAGCAACAGTCCCCATAAGACACAACTACACCCACACTTCCTGCAACTTCACTTACTAAGCAAGAGCCACTTCCTCCTTCTCCATCAACGGGCCAATAATAAAAACAACCAAGAAGATCCTGAATCATCCTTGGCTGCTCTTCACAAACACTTAATAGAGAGCTAAATCCATCAATGTCATGATGTCTTGGAGACAACAGACCATCACAGTCCACAGAAAGAAGCAGGATAAAGTGGTAGAAACAAGGGAGCAGGATACAGACCCAGAACACACACCTGAGGAAGAAGCAGCATTGGAACTCTCTGATAAGGATTCAGAAGAATTATCTTTAGGTACCTTCAAAGGATTGAGAGACAAATCAAAGAAAACACAGAAAAAAAACTCAAAGAATTTTGGAAGAAAATACAAGAACAAAATGACAAAATAAATGAAAAATTAGAAATGATTCTAAATCTATAGATAGAAATCCAGAAGATTAATACTAAGTTGACAGAAATAGATAACACATTGGAAAGGCAAAGGAATAGAATTGATGCAATGGAAGACAGAATTAATGAGATTGAAGACAAATACCTGAATACTTCTTTGGAAAGGGATCAATCAGAAACAAAATCAAAACAAAATGAGGAAAGACTAAGGTTCATGTGAGATACCATCAAAAGGAATAACATATGTGTCATTGGCATTCCAGAACAGGAAGAGAAAAACAAAACCACTGAGAAAATTGTCCAAGATTTATTGGAGGAGAACTTCCCTGATATATTGAAAGATGAGAATATATCCACTCAGGAAGTCCAACAAACCCCAAACAGGATAGACCCCAAAAGAAAATCACCAAGAAACATCATCATCAAACTCATCAAAACCAAGGACAAAGACAGAATCCTGAAAGCAGCACAGGAAAAACAAAAAGTTACTTACAAAGGTCAGCCAGTAAGAATAAGCTCTGATTTCTCAGCAGAAACCATGTAAGCGAGAAGTCATTGGGATGGTATATATAAAACACTGAAAGACAAAAATTTTCAACCAAGAATTATATACCTGGCAAAATTGTTCCTCAAATATGATGGTGAAATTAGGAGATTTCCAGATACGCAGAAACGAAAGAAATTTGTTAAAACCAGAACAGCCCTACAAGAGATGCTAAAGGGAGTCCTTTGAACAGAGAACCAAAAATAGAAAATAACAACCAACCATTAATACACAAGATGACATGACACAGAAACCACAGCTATGGACATATCCAAAGTAAAATGAGCTTACAAGATTGTAAACAGGTAAACAGAGACATCAATTGGCAAGTGAGGACAACTACAAACAAAAAGAGGAAAAATACTGCATACTATAGAACTTCTAAATGGTGAGGCAGTTAAGAGAGTTGCAAGATAGAATGTACTGTTGTAAACTCGGGGAGAAAATTGTAAATCATAGGGTAACCTCAAGGAAAAAATGATAAACATTCACATCACAATAAAAAGGAGGACAAACACAAATATTCAGCACATACTAAAACAACAGCAAGAAAGAAAATGATAACATGATTCATAAACATAATGAGCTCAGCACAGAAAATAATATGGAGGAAACCAGGGACACCATGAAAAACACATAACAAAATGACAGCAACCAATTCATACTTGTCCATAATTACCCTGAATGTTATTGGATTAAATGCACCACTCGAGTCGGAGAGTTGCAGATTGGATAAGTAAACAAAACCCATCAATATGCTGCCTACGAGAGACACCCCTTAGAGGTAGAGACAAAAATAGACTAAAAATCAAAGGTTGGAAAAAGATAGATCAAACAAATGACAATAGTAAGAGAGCAAGAGTGGCAAT